TGTTTGTAGTTGACGGTGATGCGAACAGATCCGTCCTTCTGGGGGATTATAACAAAAGGAGAAGCCCACGGAGATGTGGAATGTTGAATGAGCCCTGCCGCCAAATACTGGTCCAAAATGGCATTCACTTTCTTTTGCATCAACGGGTTGATACGATACGGGCGTGATGCAACGGGCTTCGTCTCTGCTGGGACAGAAAGCGTGAACTGCATTATGTTGCAGGAACCAAAATCGGTTTTCGAAGTACAATATTCCACAAGGGCGTCGGCCAAACGATCAATAGCCTCCGGTGTCCATCCATACTTCCTGTACCTTCTTTTATAGGTCAAACGATGGTCTTGAGACCCATCGAGTGAGAGGTGTTAAGGGTGTGGCTGCTAGCTAGCATGAATAGGGTACATCTTATTCTTGATAGGATGCGGGTCGGTCAGGAGGTATTCCCTTCTGACCCCTACCCCCTTAGAATTGTCTACTCTGTGTACCCCCTGAGATGAAGTTGGATCCCCACTTCATCCCAGACCTTTGCTGATCGTCTCTCAGCAATAACAAGCAACTTTCCCATCTCAACGTGGTCGTGGACAAGCGTGTCAACGACAGAACCTTCATCTATCTCTAGGAGCAAGCCACCGCCCACGGCATCACTCCTTGAAACTTGGCGTCAGCTGGCATTACACGGTAAGCGGGTGCTGGACGCGGCTTCCACACTGCTGTGTGTTGTTGCCACGCTTTTTTCACAACCACCGGGTTGCTTGTTATTTGGTCTCACCACCCACGAGAATCTAGACTTAGCCTCTTCTCTGCTTCCTCTCCTGTAGAGATGCTGGCTTGTGATGCTTTTGCGAAGCGCCCGCGGGACTGGGACCTTGCAAAGGATACGCGCCTCGGAGGCCATCGCGATGTTTTGGGTGATTTCTCGTACGTTCGCCGTCCCTCGAAAGCTTTTTTGTCTGCATCGGTGGTCCATGAAGTGATTTCTGTGGCGGATACCCTCTGTATGGAGCGTCCTGAGATGCTGGCCTTGTGTAGTGGGACCCGAGATGACAGCATGCTTCCCACGTCTGCTACCACCTCTATTGCATTCATGCCGGCGTACCGGCCGATGTCCGCGGATTTTCCTGTTGTGCTGTCCGATTTGACTCCGCTTGCATCGACGTGGAACGCGATAAGTGCACACAAATTGGGTGTCAGCCGCCCCACCAGCCTTCCCTCCATTTTTTGAAATCACATGGCACTTTTTTTCGGGGAATCGTTCACCCTCAAAGCATTTGAATTGGAAACCTTTCAACAGCGCAAACCCACAGCGGTCTTTGCTCGCACTTCGGCACCAGTTGCGGAGGAACGCCGTGCTGCTCTGCGTGTCTTTTGGTCGGAAAACCTCGTGTCTCCATGCAACACGGGCCCTTTTGTGCTAGCTTCTACTGCTGTTTGTGCGTGGCATGGTGTGCTTTTGGACGCTTTTTGTGCTTGGTTGGATCCGCTTCAACCTCGTGTGCACCAAGCTTTTATCGCTGGGCGTATGCTATCTTGTGAATATCTCCGCCTTTCGCATGGACCTCGGCTTGCTCTTCCCGAAGTTGCACCCGGCTTTACTGCTTCTGCTGCTCTTGGTGCTGCTGCCTCAACTGCGGTTGGTTATCCTACATCTGCTGTTTCTGGCCCTGCTGCCCTTTCCAAAATCGATCGTAGCTACCCTCTCTCTGGCCCTGTTCTTGTTAACAAAGAGGACACCATGTCCAGCGGCAACGTGGAACTCCTGGGCGACAATGTGGAAATCCTCGACTACGAACCCGAGGGCGAGGCTCCCACCGCAGAGCAGTTTCCAGCGGCGGGTGCAGAAGACGAGAGCCCCCCCATGTCCATGGTGTTCACCGTCGATGATTTGTTGGACAACATCGCCACAGCAGATCCGGCGGAATTGAAGCGGGCCTACAACACCGGACGTGTCTCTCTGGAGGATATCGTAGAAGCGGCTCATCTGTCGTCCGATTTCCCCCTTTTCGTTCCTCCTTTCTCGCTCCCGCCGGAAGAGAGATTAATCCTCTTGCCCCACGACGAGTTTATGGCGTACCAAAGGTTGAACGAGATGTGGTGCGACGGTCTTGCCGGGAAGATAGCAGAGGCGGAGGCGCGAGAGCAGGCGAAGCGCGAGGACGCGGAGCGCTTGGCGGAACGGGAGGCTGCTCTGGCCGCTGCGGCGAGGAAGCAGGAGGAGCGTGAGGCTGTTCGGGCTGCTGCGGCGAAGAAGCAGGAGGAGGAACGTGAGGCTGCTCTGGCTGCTGCGGCGAGGAAGCAGGAGGAGGAGCGTGCGGCTGTTCTGGCGGAGCGTGAGGCGTATCTCCAAGCGGCTAGGGCGGAGCAGGGGGCGCTCCGATCGCGGCTGAAGGAGCTGGAGCCCCGCCACCAGGACCCGCGAGCAGCCCCCCACCCCCGTCGCCGTGTTATCGTCCCCCCCCTCACGCAATCCCAGGTGCACCTTGGTTCCCATTGTACCGCCTGCCGCACGAGAAGAAGCGCGAGGTGGCGGCGTCTCCGACGAACGAGCAGGAGCGGAAGAGGACAGCGACTCCGGAGTTTTTCGGTGACTTTGGGTCTTCCGGCTGGTGCTGAAGACGGGGCATCGTTTGCGGCGCCAACTACGGTGTACGAGTTCCACGTGGGAGATACAGCGTTCCTGTCCCG